GGGAGCATCTCTAACCGTCATCACAAAGAAGGACTTTGACGCTGTCACAGGAAGATCATTGCCTCTACAACCATGTCACAAGTGCCTAACAACATACACAGGTGACAATGTTCCGGTGATAGGAGAAAGTATGGTTCATGTAAGCTATAATGGTCAAAGTGTTAAACTTCCTCTTCTTGTGGTTGAAGGAAATGGACCACCATTACTAGGTAGGTACTGGTTAGTTGATCTTAAGTTAGACTGGGGGAGTATATTTTCAGTGAACAAAGCAAGAGAATCTAGTTTTACTTCAATACATAAAGTTATATCTGAAAATGAAGGTGTCTTTGGTAATTCAGGATTACTAAATGATAGGACAGTGAAGATAAGCATTAAAGACACAAATCCAACATACTGCAAAGCTAGAGTTCCACCTTATGCAATGAGGGATAACATTGAAAATGAGCTAAGTAGATTGGAATCTAATGGCATCATAAAGAAGGTAGACTATTCCGATTGGGCAACGCCCATTGTGCCAGTGTTAAAGAAGGATGGTTCTGTAAGAATCTGTGGAGACTATAAAGCTACACTGAATAAGCAAATAGAGCTAAATAGGTACCCTATTCCTAACATTGAGGAAATTGCTTTGAATTTGACAGGAGGAGACAAATTCACTGAATTAGACTTTAGTCATGCTTACACTGAACTAGAAATTCATCCAGATTCAAAAGTCTATACGACAATAAACACACATAAGGGACTCTACCAATATGAAAGCCTATGTTTTGGTATATCATCTGGCCCTCGAATCTTCCAGGCTGTCATGGACAGCATTTTTCAGGACATTCCAAATGTTTGTGTTTACTTTGACAATGTATACATAACTAGTAAGAATGACACTGAACATCTTAAAACAGTTGATAAAGTCTTGAAAATAGTTGGTGAAAAGGGTTTAAAGATAAACAAAGATAAACGTCAATTCATGCTGACAGATATTAGTTTTCTGGGTTTTAATTTGAGCAGACAGGGTCTCAGACCTCAACCTGAGAAAACAAAAGCCATTAAAGAAGCACCCAAACCTGAAAATACCCAACAGCTAAGAGCTTTTTTGGGCTTCATAAATTACTATGCGAAGTTCATAGGGAATCTGTCTGGTAAGCTATCACCACTGTCCAAGCTGCTGCAGAAAAATGCAACTTGGCACTGGGGTAAACAACAAGATGCTGCTTTTAATGCAGCAAAAGAAGCTTTTTCTTCTGACACCTTACTAACTCACTATGACCCAGGGAAAAGACTTATCTTAACATGTGATGCTTCACCAGATGGTGTAGGAGCAGTTTTATCGCACATAGATGAAAATGGTGACAGACCCATTGCTTTTGCCAGTAGATCTTTGAACCAGGCTGAGAAAAATTATTCTCAGTTAGATAGGGAAGGCTTAGGCATCATTTTTGGTGTTAAGAAATTTCACAAGTTTCTGTTTGGTAGAGAGTTCACCATCTTTACAGATCATAAGCCATTGCTGGGTTTGTTTGGGGAAAACAAACCCCTGCCTGAGCATGCCTCACCAAGGATTCAAAGGTGGGCTATCACACTAGCCGCATACAATTATGAATTGAAATACAAACCTGGATCTGAGAATAGTGCAGATAGTCTTAGTCGTTTACCTTTAAAAAACCAAAGCCTTAGTTATGTACCTGAAGATGTATTTGTTCTTTTCACTATCATGGATAACTCCAAGATAAATGTGAATGATGTTAAGAGAGAAACACAAAAAGATGAGTGCTTGATAAAAGTATATGAGTACTGTAAGAATGAAAGAGTAAACAGGTTCTTAGCCAAATACCGCACAACTCCTCATATAACAACAGGTGTTGCACCATGCGAATTGCTGTGTGGTAGGAAAATTAAAACTCACCTTGACCTACTACATCCAACTGTTCAAAGGTCTGTTTCCCAACATCAACATACACAAAAAGTAAATCATGACAAAACATCCATTGAGAGAGAATTTGGAGTTAAGGAGAATGTGTATCTGAGAAATTATGGGATAGGGGAAAAATGGATGCCAGGTCAAATTGTTCAATGTACAGGACCTGTGTCTTATAAAGTAAAAACAAATGATGGACTTATTGTCCGTAGACATGCAGACCAGTTAAAAATAACTTGTGCAGATAATAAGTGTGAATCTGTCAATCCCACCAGATCTGACCGGTTCACACCAACTCAGTTTGTTCCACAATCAAGTTCTGTTGATATGAGTGAACCAAGTAGTCTAGAGTCAAAAAATGTAAATTCTGGAATTAATCATTTAGATCCTGGACTTCCTGAGCTAGAGAGTCCAGATGGTCAGAATCTTGAGTCACCAAATCAACAGCCAAATGATTCAAATCATATAATGTTTTGTATTGACTTTTGAAGTGTTGTTAATTGAAAGATACTATCATTCACGCTCTTGAGAGCTATGTTATTATTTACTAAGGGTAAAGGGATGTAATATATTGAGCTTTGTGAAGTCAAGGGAACTCACTCTTCTTGTATTAGTCTTATAATGTTTGAGTGATGTCCCTTGCATGTCATGTGCTTCCGGTTTCTGATACAGAATAAAATGTGGTGTGCATAGAACATGGCTTCCTCGTCTGTTGTGTTACCTATCTAAGTACAAATCTACTTCAGTGTGGGGTCGATCGGTACTCGCAAAACGGTGAAATTTGTTGACGTAACTGATACTTTTCAAACAAATATAAATAACACATTCAAACATGGGTTACATATATAAAAATACCAGATTTCCACAAATAAAGACTTAAACTTTATTGCCATATAATTTTTATTCTTATAGCACAACTAGAAGTAGTGAATTTTTTTTTTTTGAAAACCGCAAACAATGACCCCTAAACGCACTTTTTCGCCAGTTTGGACTACCTACTTCCATGACTTCATTAAAACGATGGTGCCCATAAATCTCATTTAAATTGTTTTGTACTATGTAAATTAAAAAGCAATTAATTCTCTTAAGTATTATTTAAATAAGACATAATAAAGAATCCTATAGCTTTATAAATGAATGTATTCAAAACTAATAATATAAATACAAAATTAAATCATAAAAATAAAAATAACGCGAGAAACCATTTCACAAATAAAGTTTACGTGACCAGCTAGCTTTCTTTATTTTGTCACATTTTTCGGTAAGCATAAATATGTAATACAAACATTTGTAAAACACGGTTATTGCTGGCCCGAAATGAATTCGTATTTATTTTTGTCTGGTTCGTTATCTCAGAGTGGTAATACATTGCAATAAAATAGATTAAAATACTCAGCTAATAGACTATTTAAAAATTAGAGAAGCAGGCTACTTATATATATGTATGTATGTATGTATGTATATATATATATATATATATATATATATATATATATATATATATATATATATATATATATATATATATATATAGGGGGGGGCACATTTTTTTGCGGGGGAGCTTTTTTTTTCTATTTCCGCCACTGATCGCAAGTAAACGTACAGCCCACTTCTTGGCTTTCTTTTCCGCGCCTAGCTCAGCGCCAGACATGTGGGAGGCGCTTTTTGGGTGAATGGAAAAAAAACAGAAAAAAAAGTCAGTATTTTATTTATTTGTTGAAAATTGTAAAATTCTATATGTTTATTGTTATGGGTTGTATTTTTTATAGCATATATTATTTATAGACATTAAAAGCATTATCGTTTATAACAATTGTATGTAAAATACTCTAAGGTAATTTACAATCTCAACTTTTGTTACGTAGGCCTACTTAGTTAAATACGCGGTAGAAAAGTTAATTATGATAGAAATTTAGGCACATCATTGTGTTTTGCACATGTTTTGCCGTAGGCTATTCTCTGGTCGGCCTCTCCTCAGTCGGCCTTGTCCGAACATATTGTGTGTTGTTGACGTTTTGTGTTAATGACAGCCTTTGAACCTTGTCTGTTTTAATCTTATGCTTTGTTACGTAATGAGCGTGATAAATGTGGACAGTAAAGGTGGTTGAACTATTGTTGTGATGAGGTGAGGGCAGCAAGTTAGATGAACTTACCATTTCACGGTAATTTAATGTTGGTATTTTAAAAAAAACAACAACACGATATTGAAAAGTAAAGAAATTATGTATCTGGTTGATTTTGACACACAATCAATCGTGTATGCCTTTACATATCTATATTAAGAGAGTGATTATTTCCCCTACTTTAATCCGCTTGTCTTATAAATATTCTACTATGTTAGATGTTTTTTTTTACATGGTTTACAAAAGAGATTGTGTTGCGTTTATTGTTTTTTGTTGTATTTTGTGTATATATATAGTGTTTTTTGTTTGTTTTGTGTGATAAATTGTTTTGTGTTGTCGATCAACGTTGTGTTTTGTTACTTTGTTTTCTACAGAGTACTCTTTGAGTGTTTACACTGTTGCGAAGCAATGACATACAGCTAGTGCATATATATATATATATATATATATATATATATATATATATATATATATATATATATATATATATATATATATATATATATGGCGCATTTTTCTCGACTCTCCACTCCTCTTAACCCGAAAAGCCTCTGCATCAAACCATAATGTTTTTGTAAATGTACAAACACAAAAATATGAGTTAGACGGGCATAAACGCGCCAGTTCTACAAATTGTAGTACAATGAGAATTGAATCTGTCATCGCTTCATGTCACATAATGTTTATTTAAAGTGAACGCTCCCTTTAATTATAATACAATAATAAACCGCGAGACAGTGAAATAAATATGTTTTTGATTGACAACGCTTAGGCTATAAAAACAGGAAATAACAAGAATGATATACGAAGACTTAGCTTGGTGTTTCCGGTAGCACTTCATCTGAAAATATTTGTCTGCAGCAGTGGCGAAGGTCGGAATTAGTCACGGGGGAGTTTTCAAAACTTAATAAGTTAATATATAGCTGTGTGTAAGTGTCGCTAAGTTGTCACAATTTGTGTATCAGTGTGTTTGTGTGCACGTGTGAGTGTCTGGTCATCTTAAGTTTTTCTGTCGCCCAATTGAAGTGTGTGAGCAGTTCGTCAAAAACAAATTGTCAAGTGTTGCGTGAGGCGGGTGCTTTCCTTTGCTGCAAACATGGTATGTTTTTAATTTTTCAATCCTTAATTTTAATAACGGTTGGTGCAAGATTGACTGTAGCTCAGCTTTTCATCGACTTTTGTGGACGCTTGGGGACTTGGGGGGGGGGGGGGGGGGGGGGGGTTCGAGTGTAACAACAAAATACTTACATTTGGAAATAATTAAAAATACTTTTTAAAAAACTGCACATAAAATGGGTGTTATACTATATGTTAAATTTTCTAAAATTATTCATGGTATTTCAAGTTTAGTTTTCAAACAATTGTAACTACATCATAGTAGGCCTACATCATTATTTTGTGTCAAAGCCTAAGATGATGTAGATCTAGTCTTTTAAAAAAAAAGTAAAACCTCAAAGTAATTAGATATTTAAATATCAGCGTGTGTATAATGTGCTCGCTAGCTCAGATGTGTAGGGGTCAGCGCGAATACACAAAAGGGGAGAAGTGGTTTGTTATGGAAACACACGTAACATAAAGCTGAGTATAAGTAATACAGTGACGTCACTTTGATTAGCCGAATTTACTCGAACCCATGTAGTCGTTGATAGCCAGACAGCCGTAAATGATATTAAAAAGTTCGGTCTGCAGCATCTATGTATAACTACCTGCATTCTCTAACTTTTTATAATGGATAAAAAGCTTTTAAAGTCATGAGGCACGATACATAGCGTCCACCCGCGAACATACTTTCAATAAAGAACAATTTTAGATAGTCTTGACAATTTCACACAATCACAGTAAATTTACACGCCGTAGACTTGCGGACATCTTGGAAAAGATTGTTATTCCCAATCGTTATTTAGGCCTATTTATAGATTATAACGAAAGTATCGAATCCCTATATTACATTACCAGCTAATAATACAGCTATGTACCCATTACATGCTAATGAATCAGTAATTTTGCAGCATGCTTTTAGAGCTCTACTAAATTTTTTTGGAAGTCCTCAATTCAAAGTTTTTTAGACGTCATAAATGGATGACCCCTATAGATTACTATTCAATAACAGAAGGGAAGATAACTAGCTAGACTGGTAGACGCTATCAACCTACCAGTCTGGCGAGCTGTGGTTCACGCCGAATGTTTACAATCGTAGAGCCGGGTCGAATTAGTGAAGGCTATTAGAGGCGGATAATAACGTTTTAAACGATTTGAAACTAAGGGGATTAAGAACTGGCCTTCACTTCATCAGCTGACTGTGGTCTGTAAATTATGATCAAATACGGTTGCTTTTAGATATCGCGAGCAACTGAATATTTTAGTCGTGTCGACTTCACAAATTAGGAATCAATAAAAAGTAGCAAATAAAACAAATATATTTTTTTTTATTGCTATAAGCTTTTAAATGCACCGAAAATAAGAAAATAAAGTGTGTTTGCTTTATTTAGTAAAAGCTTTGGTCGATCGTGAGATCTTTTACATATTTTTAAGGGACAAAAGTTTTTACTAAAGAAAGTAAATACACTTTATTTTCTTATTTTCAATGCATTTAAAAGCTTGTTGATTATAACAAAGCGTATTTGTTGATGTGACAATACGTTGTTATTGTGAGTTCTTTCTTCAATAGAGACGAAGAATTGTTCTTTCATTTTCCAACTTTATTTACAGTGATAAGATAGATCCATAAGGAATAATAATAATAAATCCATAGTAGGATAACAATAAGCCAATAGTAGGATAACAATAAGCCAATAGTAGGATAACAATAAGCCAATAGCAGGATAACAATAAGCCAATAGTAGGATAACAATAAGCCAATAGTAGGATAACAATAAGCCAATAGCAGGATAACAATAAGCCAATAGTAGGATAACAATAAGCCAATAGCAGGATAACAATAAGCCAATAGCAGGATAACAATAAGCCAATAGTAGGATAACAATAAGCCAATAGTAGGATAACAATAAGCCAATAGTAGGATAACAATAAGCCAATAGTAGGATAACAATAAGCCAATAGTAGGATAACAATAAGCCAATAGTAGGATAACAATAAGCCAATAGCAGGATAACAATAAGCCAATAGTAGGATAACAATAAGCCAATAGCAGGATAACAATAAGCCAAGGACAATCCACGAACATAGTGACATGGTGACGGCTTACATTCTTCTATACAGGCACCCTTGTCCCAGTAGCGTAGCGAGGGGGGGGGGGGCGGGGGGCGGGGGGACGACATATGTCCCCGGGCGCCGACCTTAGGGGGCGCCAAAATGGGTTGGAAAAATAAATTCAAAGGTTGAGGGGGTGCAAATTGAAAGTTTGAGGAGGGGGGTGCAAATCGAAATCTCGAGGGGGGTGCAAATCGAAAGTTTGAGGGGGGGGGGGGTGGGAGGGTGTTGCAAATCGAAATCTCGAGGGGGGGTGCAAATTGAAAGTTTGTCCCCGGGCGCCGGGAAGGGTCGCTACGCCTCTGCCTTGTCCACCTTACGCTCCCCTTTTATACCCTTCATTCTCTCCCCTAACGTCAGTGAGCGATATAACAAAAAGCGTGGAAAAACATGATTAGTCGCTCACAAAGTCCGTCCATTGGCCAGGTATTCTACTTTCATACAAGTTCATCCTAAATATAAAACAAATAAACAATACCAAAAGTACAGTCTGTTACATTGATATAAAGTTTTTTTTTAATATTTGTTTTATTACATGTTAGTGTTTATGGATGTGTCCCCAACCTTTCAGTTTAATCTTAAATGTATGCGCCTCAGTAGAATTATAATTATTTGCTCATGGAGAATTTTCTGTTTATTCTTAATTTTTTTCTTATTACATTTTTCTTCTAGGATCAAGCGTCAACCGAAGGGTCCGAAAGAAAGCAACATACACCAAGTGAAGGGACCAAACGAAAACCTCCTGGACCTTTAGGCTTGCCCTGCATTGGTTCACTCATTGATTACAAAGGGCCTTCAACAAACTTGGAGTGGACGAAGCGGTTTGGACCGATTTACTCCGTCAAGCTAGGGAGCAAGACACTCGTCTACCTGAATAATGTACACCTGGTCGAAACTTATCTAGAAGGAAAAATGGGCGAAAAATTTCTAGACAGACCAATGGGACCAGGAGCCATAGGGGAAGGTAAAATGTTTATTTCCGACCCTGCACTAGAAGGTTTTAAGAGGCTAAAAAGTGATTGAATTTAAATATATAATAATAAACTAATATAAGAAAGCCGTGGGCTGCTATATTTATGTATTGAATACATATACTCGAATATATTTAGCTTAATTAGAAATACAAATAAAAAAGCATATAAGTGTACTTATCTAGATGAAAACATAGACTACGGCTAAATCCCAAGGAATGAACATCTCAAATATATTAATGGGTGGAACTTCGGGGCGGGGAAATAGTTGGGAACATGTCGTGGGGGGTGTATGCCATGCCCTACAAAAGAGTCTCATCTGGTTTTGTGTTACCTTACGGGACATCGACCACAAAAAAAGTTGTCTGTGTCTACAATTAGGGCGTCAGATACGCGTTTATTTATGGCCTGTTTCTCTCTTGGCCAGCGCGGGAATTTCTACAAGGTAATCAATACAGATGAGAGTGTGCATTGAACTGGAGATGTTTCGCAGTTCTATCTCTAAACTAGTCGGTCAAAAGGTCAATGCTTTAAGGAGATGTGATGCTGGATACTCTCAAACTGTTTGAACCTTGAATTTAATAAAATGGTATTTTGGTTGGCTAAAGCTGCCAGCCCTACCACACCTTACAACCTAAAAAAAACCACTTCTACATAGGTCGGTGTCTAAACCATCCACTCTGCTGTGTTAGACCCTCCCTACAACTAAGGACGCGTTTTCCAAACTAACCCTAACCCTAACCCTAATTCTAACCCTAGCCCTAACACCCAGGTTATGCCTTCCTATCAGGTTCAGGTGGGAGGGGGGAGATAATTCTCTAACGGTGAGCATGGACTGCCACACCCCCCCCCCCCACATTGCATTTAATCAATATGAGCTCAACTACTCTACTATTAATTGAAATAAAAATGGCTCTATAATGTGACCCCAATAACTTTACATACAAATCTGCTAAGAATCAAAATACTTTAACACTACTTAAAGCATGCCCATAATATTCATAATAATAACAAAGGGCACAATTATGCTGAACGATACCACTACGTTGTACCGAAAACAATATGTTGATGCTTGTTCCTTAGGTTGTCCTTACAGTTTATCAAAAACAATATGGACATTCTTATTCTTAGTTATGCTCATATAATGCATGAAAAGGAATACATTCTAAGGGATGCCCCTACAATTTAACAAAAAGTGTATGGGCGTTATTACACTACACATGGTCATGTATTGCACGTAAGGTACCCCAAAATGTGTAATATTAAAATGGGCGTAATTCCCTTTAGATGCACTTAAAATGTATTATAATGAGCATGTAGATAAAAACGTTAAAATGTTCCCAAAAATAGACACAATGATGATAGGTATAATTACTGTATGATGCACTTCGAATGTAATATATGAATATAAGCATAATTACTTTCGAGATGCCGTTACAATATATAAATTGACAATGGGCATACTTACTATATGGATGCCTTTAAAATTTATTTTAAAGCGAAGTGGCCATATACGAATAATTAATTTAAAGATGCCATATAAAAATAAATGTGGATATAATTACTTTACCAATGTCTTTAAAGATTAGTATAACGAATATGGGCATAATTACTTTAAAGATGCCCCTATAGTGCAAAGGGATTATATGGGCAAAATTACTCTAAAAGATGCCCCTACATTTAATATAAAGACCGAGTTTATTAAAGGAATATCAATGACTACAATGGGACTATCCTTCACTGATACAAACAGTCCACGACAAACAAACTTATTACATGTTACATACAGAATTGAGCTTTATATATTAGATTTTTGTATTCATACTGAAAATATATTCTAAACTATAGGAAAATCATAACTTGCGTTCTATTAAACTAATGTCATTAACGTTTTAAAAATCATCCAAGGTAAAATAAAACCTTTTAAAATAACTTGATCGAGACTGCAGCTAACTAAGCCCGCCCATTTTGCCCGCCGTGTATTTGAATGAGGAGAAATCTAGCAGACGACACATTTCTGCTGAACGGCAGTGAACGGTCTTTCACGTCACAACTGAACTCCCTTAAAAATCCGATACAGCGTATCACTGAAAATCAGTCACATCATCGTAGCCATTTAAAAACAAACGCGTTTTTTTTCACAGATCATTCTCTATGCTACAGATTAAATTTGATCAATACAAATGGTATAAAATTAAAGGTAAATAAATGCAGTTTTTAATTTTTAGTCATCTTGAACAATAAGGAAGTTTAAATTCTTAGGCGACACCCTAGCTATAGAATCTAGAAACATAAAAGTAAACATCGTATGCTGTGCATTGGTTGCATTGTATTGTCTTATTACAAGTACTGAATAATGTCTATTTATGTAACGACTTAAATTTTTTATAGTTGGCAAAAGTTTTTACTAACTCTAACACTTACCACCAAAGAAGACTGCCACCCCCACGAACGAAATGGAATTTCTTTAGAAAACTACTTTTATCAGTGTTCGTCACCCCGTAAAATGGTTCCCAGAAAGAAACGCAACAGAAAAAAAGCGCAACGGAAAAAAAGAGCAAAAAAATGCGCAACAGAAAAAAGCGCAAACAGAAAAAAGCGCAAACAGAAAAAACGCAAACAGAAAAAAGCTCACACAGAAAAAACGCAAACAGAAGAAATGCAAACAGAAAAAAAACGCAGCGGAAAAATGCGCAACGGAAAAAAGCGCAAAAAAAAGAATAAAAAATGCAAACAGAAAAAAGCCCACACAGAAAAGTGTGCACATCGAAAAATGCGCAAAGAGAATTTTTAGCAAAGACGTGTGTTGCAATACAATCAAGAACTTTTTTCTGTTTGCGCTTTTTCCGTTGCGCATTTTTTTGCGCTTTTTCCGTTGCGCTTTTTTCCGTTGTTCTATTTTCCGTTGCGCTTCTTTCCGGTCACCTCGTAAAATATAGTCCGCCCCCCCCCCCTAAAAAAAAGCATCAAGTGCGTCTTTTCTCACCCCCCCCCCCCTTCCCCATCGGAGAAATAAGTCTGGAAGAAACACTGCCAACTGCTGCCCATTCGCTCTGGGTTATCCGTTTGCGACAACCGGGTATGTGGCAGGGAGGAGAGGTCTTAAAGAAGCCGACATTTTTTTTGACGCTTATGGAAGTTGGGTTAGTGTTTAATTCCGCATACTAATATTTAAAAAATTAAAGTAATAATACTAATAATTATTGTTAATATTGTTTTGTTATATTTAATATTTAAGGTTTACTTTTTGGAAATGGAGAAGCATGGAAGAAAAACAAAAAAGCTTTCATGAAAGCTCTGTACACACACAGTTTCTGCGAGACAATGGAAGGCGCAATACAGACAGAACTTAAACTCGTCATAGGGAATTTGCAGACGCACTGTGGGAGAGAAGTGAACATCGGTGACCTGATGATTTCAGCTTGTGTTAATGCTGTTGCCGCCCTGCTTCTAGGAGGTTCCCTCCCGCATGATTCAGCTGATAGAAAAGAACTTGAGAAGGTGGCAAGGAATTTGGAAGGCTGTGATTTAAACTCCGTATTGACACAAATTGCAATCAAGTTACCAAAGTAAGAATAGAGCAAAATCAAGTAGCTTTACTTTTTAAATTTATTGACCTAGATGGCCCAGAAAAACATTTTATCTTTGTTGGCATGTACCAAAATATTTATTCGATTTATTTAATTGAACAAGGACAGGGTTGAGTTATCTATTGTAGTAGCCCACTGTATCCATAGTGTAAGGCGCTCTTTATAACGAATTTAAGCACTATAGTGATCATGTGGGGAAACAGGCGCACCGAATAACATGACCATCGAGGTCCTCGAGGGCGCCTTTATAATTTCAGAAGGACCTTTGATTCCGAGCGCTAAACGTCCGATTGGAAAAACCCAATTGCTATAATAGCTTCGAATGATCTAGGGGCACCCAACCGAAAAAGAAAATGACAATACTACCACTAAATAAACAAGAATAAGTAACTATAGATAAACCATCACCTAAAGCTCAGGACCTTGAGGATGATTGGCGGTATGCAATTTGCTCCACGTATCCTTTGGTTATTAATGTCATTAATAACCAAGCCACTTCAAGATCTTTTGCTTTTAATCTCAGTTGTTTTACTCATTACTTAATGCTTTCATTTCTTGTACTCTCAATTATTTTACCCTTATTTCTTTTACTCGTATTTTACAACCTTTTATTACAATCTTTTATTTAATTCCGTCTGTCTTAGTTACTTACTAATCGAAACGGGAGAGCGAAATTTCCGGCGACCTTAACCAATCAGTTTCTTGAAATCCTGCATTTGGTTCAAGGCCCAATGATAATGCAATATGACATTAAATTTGACTAAATTGAATGCCTAATTAATTTTTTATGAATTGATTAAAATTATCTGAAATTAGTAGGCAGCCTTATCCATTTTTCCGCACTAATATATGCGCGTTATCAAGTTCATTAGATGCGTAATAGTTTAATAAAATTATCTAATATAAATAAAAGCGTGAATCTCTTCCTAAATATTAGTAAAGGTATCCAGTAGATATTAAAGTGACCCACGCTTATCTTTATAACTATTTAAATAATAGTGTAGTATTATATATTCAAAGAAAATCATTTATTTTTTACTTTTTAGTTCATTGTTACATGTTATTAAAACCTTTTTTTTTAAATTTGTTTTTGTTACCCTTAATTTTTTTTTACTTTTTATTTCTTTAATTTCTTTTACTGTAAATCATTTTAATTGTATCTTTTTCTTTTTCTCTTATTTCTTTTATTCAAATTGCTTCTGCTCTTATTTCTTAAATTCAAACATCTGCAGACTGAGAGAACCTTTGTCTAAACTGTTTTTCAAAGAAATCGTCGATGTGCACGGCACGTCTCGACAGTTGCAAAGATTATTGCGACAGTGGATACGCCAAGCTAGAAGTGGCTCGTTGTCTCCGCTTCCTGCTGAGCAGACGATCTCCTCACAAGGATCAACCGTTGAAGACAGCTCAGGACAGCCACTGCTGACCCCACCAAGAGATGACAGCACCATAGAGGCGGCCATGCGTTGTGCGTCACAACTAGCTGTGCTTGGCTTCTCTGAGACAGGTCATGGGGAGCTGCCGTACGAGGCGCCGGAAGAGCCGTCCGATGTTTGTCCTCACACTCCGCTTACAGAATACCAGTGGACCTTCTCACAGCAAATGTCCCTAAATGAAAGAAACGATTCGATACTTCAAAGAATCCTGAGACAGCCGGAATTTTCTGGCGTGACAGAAGAAAACGGTGAGATTTTTTTAACGACCTATAAAATAATGCAGATTTTTAAAAGTTTTGTTAGACTGCTAAATAGTGAAGTTTTGTTAGACTGCTAAATAGTGCAATTTGTGTTTGGAAAATGTTATAGATCAAATGATGTTTCCCTTCCTGATTGTATTTAAATATTAAAAATTTGATATTTTGTGTACCTAAGATGACATTTTTTAATTCGTGGTTTCTTTAATGTGTTTGCTGTTTTAGTTTTTGCGTGTGTGTGTCGGGAACTTATTTTAAATTTTATTCAATTATTCTCCGAAAAAGACGCCACTATCCTTAAAATGGTCGTTAGGGGGAGCAGCTGCTTCCCTACCCCCCCCCCCCCCCCTGCGTACGCTACTACTAAAGCTGTAACAATCCCCCCCCTCCGGCTCTATTTCCTTCATGACTTAACTTCATTTAGTCTTTTTCTCGCGTTTCATCAGCAATAGGCTTAAATAGCTGTTTCGTTAGCCATATGCTTAGATAACTGTTTCATTAGATGGAGGATAAAAAAACCGGACTAAACTCATTAGCACCAACTACAAACTAGCCTCTAAACTGAGACATTTTTTCTCGTTAGTTATTGTAAAAAGATAATGCACCTGATTGGGAATAAAATTTGCATCGAGTAAATTCATAGTATTTATAAAGTTTCATTTTTATTAGATAATAGGGAGGGAAGCCTCCTAAGAGATGCCTGAAAGAAACTCCTTACTAACCTTAGGACAGAACAACCGATCTATACTACAAGACTGACTAAAATGTGATAGTAAATAATTCTTTAGATATACCCTCTCTCTCTTACAGATCAGGAACTGCTTCAATCCCTTATAGACTTGTTCTTTGGGGGCGTGACAAGTACTCTTTCGGCAGTTGAGTTTACCTTGATGCACCTGTGTCGGCATCCGGCCATGACAGAGCACGCCCTAGCTGAAATAGACCACGTCGTTGAAAATAAGAAAGGTGTGATCAGCTGGTCTCTGATGGAACTGATGCCCTACACACGGGCCTGTATAACAGAAGCCCTCAGGCTAGGCTCGATCACCCCGTCCTCACTTCCACACGTGGCTATGGATGATACACAGGTAAATCTATGAGCCCACAGGTAAATATATGAGCCCACAGGTAAATCCATGAGCCCACAGGTAAATATATGAGCCCACAGGTAAATCTATGAGCACACAGGTAAATGCATAAGCTCATATTTATATGCTGCTTAATAAACACACAAGTCATGGTCCTTGACAGATACAATTTATACAGAGGCCAGTGCAGGGCCTGGCCGAGACGGCTAGTACAAATCTAAAACTGATTTTTCTAATCCAAACCTACAACTAATCGTTTTCTTCGTTACATTCGTTCAGTACAGAGACACAATTAGACAGGCTTAAAACATAAGAAAACTATTTGTACTATTACTGGTACAGCAAGAAATACAATAAAAACACTTGCTGATTGTGAGGGTCTCAGGAATCTCGTACACTCAGGTAGGCCTTTACATATGCACCAAAAGTTTCGTGGAGGTTACGTACAACAGTCTGTTTAATCCAACTAATTTCCTTGCCACAAATCAACCTTTTTCTTCTTCCCCCAACCTTCAAATATCCTCCCCATTCATTCCTACACACCTCCTTTCTCTCTCTTACAACCGCTGTCACTCGAACAGTCGCTTTCCTCGTTCACCCTGTACAATAACATACACGTCAACACACCCGGCCTTGCGTATCGCAACTGGATATAAACACACACGCAATGATCCGTCCTATGTATACACCTTTCAAACAAATTACATCACCACACTGATACACCTTGAAATACAACAAAAACACGATTACTTACATTGACCACAGAAAAAAACAACAAAGATTCATATGACCGAAACCGCTCATTTTTGAGTTTGGTGGTTCACAAACTGTCCTAACCAACATTTATTTTCCTGAGGTGGCTTTCCTATAGACGCATTGACAACACAAGTAACAGCCCTTCTTAGCAATGTGGGCTGCTCTTCAAAATATAATATTTGCATACACCTTTTAAAATGTAAAAGAGAAAAAACAAAACTAGCTTAGATAAACCCCAGACTGGTCTTAAACTACAACAGCAAACACATTAATGAAACCACGAATTAAAAACTGTCATCTTCGGACTGGTCTTAAAACATCACAGTGTTCTGAGGAACATACGAAAATTTATTTTGAAGAAAAATAGATAGAAATATGATAACTGATAGCATTCATAATGTGACCAGAGAGCCCCAATAGGACGCCAGCAAAAAGCCTTTTACTATCTAGATCCCTGCGACTAGTTCTTTGTAAGCTCCTTACGATTCTCTCAACTTCAACGTTAGAGATCAGATACTTTTACTTGATTGCATTACATCTTGCCTGGATCACTGTATCAAAGAGAAATAAATATCGCGGATTCTTGAATCGCTATCCGATCAGTAAAATAGCCTACAGTTGGAGCGGATGGGCGAAATTTTAAGAGCTAAAAAAATAAGTATATTGTACGGAATAGGTCATTTTTTTATTGCTTGTTTCATAACAAGTCCTAATAGTGTAATTTGTCACTTTGTTCAGCCTAACTGATAATTTAAACTATAATACACTATTATCGAAATTGTTCTGAAGACACAACCAAAATTAGACCTTATACAAACTACACTCTAAAGCAATGATTCTTAATCTTTTTGGAGGTACCGAACCCCACCGAATCCTTCTTAATAGTTTTCGCGTCAACATTGACAAAATCTTATCGTGAATTATTTGTCGGGTCTGTGTCTTGAACTCCGCCGAAACTCTGAGACTTACATACCGAACACTTGGGTTCGATTGAACACAATTTAAGAACCACTGCTCTAAGCTCGTTTGATTTTCTTCTTTTTTTTTGTTTCAGTTTCCTAAGGAGCATAGTCGTAGGCAACACTTCGTCAACTCACTTGATTTTATGAAGATATAACCCTAATAATCCAGCCTCCCACATCTCTATTTCAAACGACTTTCTTCAGATATTTTTTGTCTCTTTCTCTTCCTCTTTCGCCGTGGACTTTACACCAGCACCTGCTTAGTGATGTTATTTACTGATATTGTGCCCTAACCACCACTTCTTTTTCCATGCTCTTATTTCATTCTTCACTGTCTCTAGCTCCGAGCCATACAGTAAAAGAGACTTCACATTTAGCTATAGATCCTGCATGAACTTTTTTGATAATGCACTTGAATTCCACATTGTCTTAGAGTGTTAAAACGCGTTTTATTGCTACTGATTATAATCAGAACATCATTAAACTGGTTCTTACTGCTTCTTCAATCAGTACAATTAGTTCTGCATTTGTTGTTGATTGTGGACGAGAAGGCAAGACTTCGAGCTGTTAACATCCGTTGGATTCCAGTTTGTTTCCTCTAGCTTGTTTTGTGATACCATCAACCAGTCAACGAAATACCTATGTCGTATTCCAATGCGAACAATAAATGTTTCAGATAAGCTGCTCTTGTATGTCACTTGTATATCCTTATTCAAACAAACTTATAATCCAACTATGTACCATATCACAACAGAGATCATTCCAAAAATACAACATAAAAGGCTGGTCTTAACAAATTAGCGCTTGCTACAAACCACCATCTAACGCAGAACAGGCATATTTTTTTCTGACATTACTAATCTTTTGTAAAAGGAAAACGAATCTTAATGGGAATTTAATTGGCGTAAAGTTTTAAGGAACGAAAATCATGCACTGCAATTATTAAACCTTTTCCGGACTGTTGCACATATGCTTACACACACACACACACACACACACACACACACACACACACACACACACACACACACACACACGCTTATAGACACCAACGATTATACGCACACACACACACACACACACACATATATATATATATATATATATATATATATATATATATATATATATATATATATATATATGGGGGGGGGGGGCGCCAAATTGAAAGTTCGCCCCGGGCGCTGGGAAGAGTCGCTACGCATTTGAGCCCTTGACCAAAAAACAAAAAATAGGAAAATAAAATGAGTAACTAGCTTACCAGGCTTATCGAAATAATTTGACAACGTTTAACAAATTGATGGTACCGGATGGTCCAATCTCTGACACACAGACAACCTCCCTTCATCCGCTCGACATCCGAAAGTGTCCAGCAACATCTGCCGGAACTGACTTCCGCATACCTCGCACACTACACGTAAACAAATAAACCCTAATTCACAGGTAACAAACAACACGGCACGAAACATAAGACAGAATTATACAAAAAGACACTTAATATAAACATTGACAACAATATAAACAAAATATATACAAACTAGCCGTAGACATTGACGTAAACACTTATACAGCGGCGCCATAATACAGGACTACATAACTAAAACGCACGAACAGTTCACGACATGAAACGAAACGATACATTCGCCTTTTTAAGTTATAGATATAATAATAACAACACTCAAGCCGCTCATACTATCGTCCTTGGGTACACAAAATGTGCTGATTCACATTTTTATTACATTTTATATCGTGTTTGGTATGTGGACACCCTCAGCCCCCCCCCCCCCCCCCCCCCTCCACCCGCTGAGTTAAGTAGCAGTGACCAAAAATGATTACAAAATAAATTGCAGATTGAAGGTTACTTCATACCAAAAGGTACCTTTGTTATGGCTGGCATCTATAGTCTACATTACGACCCTAGCTATTATTTGGATCCGGAAGAATTTCGACCACAAAGACACCTTGACAGCAAAAATAGATTCAATCGTCCTCGCAGCTTTAAACCGTTTGGAGTTGGTGAGTAAATGTTGGCAAAAATCAGGTAGATGACAATTGTTAGTCACCCCCAATAAAACTGTCATGTAAGTGGGAATGTGTGCTAGGCATAAAAAATATTAGTTTCTATGTAGAGATCACGTCATCAGTACGGTTTCTTTTACTAATGGTTAATGTTATCTTTATCAATCTGTGTGCACCGGTTAGGGTTAATGTTATCTTTATCCATTTGTGTGCACTGGTTAGGGTTAATGGTATCTTTATGAATCTGTGTGCACTGGTTAGGGTTAATGTCATCTTTATCCATTTGTGTGCACTGGTTATGGTTAATGGTATCTTTATAAACCCAGGTGCAAGACGCTGTGTTGGGGAGAAGATGGCGGAGATGCAGATTTTCCTCTACGTTGTCACAATACTACGCCATTTTAAGCTGGAGATACAGGACGAGAAGAAGTGTTCAGAAACACACATGCGGATCATTCATCGCTTGAAGGAGCTCAAATGCTTTATCTCTGCCAGAAACCGTTTCTTTTAGTTTATTTACATGCAAAAGTTGATTTATTTGTAGAGTCATTTTGATAAGTTACTATATGGGTTACCTGCATTTTATCTTCCACATTTATGGCACGTATTCTCAATTTATCTTCTACTGGTGACAAAACAAATCATCTCAGGACAAATTATTTTTAGATAAATTATCTAACAAAATATCTCAGATAAAATATCTTAGACAAAATATCTCAAACAAAATATCTCACAGCAAAATACCGATATAGTGTGACTTTTGAAAGAAACCAGACATTAAACATATATATATATATATATATATATATATATATATATATATATATATATATATATATATATATATATATATATATATATATATATATATATATATATATATATATATATATATATTAAACATTTTTGTAGCTTATGTAGCCGATATATTTTAAAACTAGATACATGGCCCATTGATGGAAAAATACAACCGGCGCTAGGTTGATAGTGTTGTCATTTTCTTTAAACAGGAACCAAAACCAAAATCACCACATAAACTTCAAATTTAACCGGAAACAAAAATTTATAATGAAAATGCATTTTTGGGGGAGGGGGAGGCACCCCAAAGAGATACCTGAAATATACTCTGCATGCAGACCACTTTTAATCCCTAAAGGCAAAAACACCCGCTGACAGTGACCAATACAGTATTGAACAAGAGTCGTTGCTTAGTATAGATTTATTGTAGGCCTATAAGCTAAACCATAGTGATTACCCAGCTATGGCATTTTCAAATGATTTTACTGTATGATTCAGGCGACACAATCACGTTTTTGAAAACATTTCTCGTTTTTACAAGCTTTTTAGTGTAGTATTACATAAAAGCTTGTTATTAAAACGTTTTTTAGAGGGAAAATGTCATCAATAATTTGATATAATTAACTGCAAGCAATTTATACGTTTTTTATTTTTTTATTTTCACTCTAAACATTTATATGTTTTCAATTTTTACTTTTCAAAATCTACTGGCATTAAAACATAAATTTAGATGTAGTTTAAGTTAGTCTTGTGTTTAGTTTAATTACAAATAAAAATAGTATGCCACATATGAGAATCAAATAAACATATTAGATCGACGTATACTTTCCTAAATACTGTAGGTATTTCACCGTTAAATATTTTGTCTGAGATAATTTGTCTGAAATACTTTTTCTATGGTATATTTTGTCCTGATGTATTTATTCTCTGCGATCTTTAGATAGTGAGATCCTTTTGCCGTAAAGTATTTTCCGAAAGATATATTAATTAAATATATTGTCTATGATATCATTTGTCTTGATATATTTTTTCCTGATATCTTTTGTCCGTGAGATCATTTGTTCTTGAGATAAATTGTTCTGAGTTCATGTGTCCGTGAAATATTTTGTCTGGGATTTTGTCCTGAGATAATTTGTTCTGTCACCTTTCATTTTTTATGTGTTTGTTGGAAAGACGCACTTTAATAAATACTTCACTATCCATTTTTGTATATTTTGCACTTATCACATAAATGTTATGAAATATTCAATTTTGGTTGCCAAAAGTTAAAGGAAGTATGAAGGGGTGTGGGTAGTCTAAAAGTGTGTGGGTATAAAAGTTGGTTAATGGAAGTATGAAAGTGTGTGGGTATTAAAGTTAATGGAAGTATGAAGGCTAGTAGGTACTGAAGTTGGATAATGGAAGTCTAAAAGTGTGTGGGTATTAAAGTTTGGCTAATGGATCTATGAAAGTGTGTGGGTATTTAAGTTTGATTAATGGAAGTATGAAAGTGTCTTGGTGCTGAAGTATGAAGGTAAGTTAAATAAATGTTGTCTTCTAAAAGAATAAGAATATGAAAATACTTTTTTTTTTAAATCGTCTAATGTTAGGCAATAACTAATTAAGGACCAGTGGCGTACGCAGGAGGGGGAGCGGGGGAGCGGCCGCTTCCCCTTCGACCATTTTAAGGATAGTTGCGCCTTTTTCGGAGATTAATTAAAGAAAATTTAAAACACGGATTAAATAATTTTAAAATACTTAATATTGTAAATGTGGGTAGACTTGACGAATCAAGTGAGAGTAAGAGTATATTGAGCACAGTATTCGAATCATTTAACTATGTCCAGACCTTTAATTTCCCTGATAATTTCATGTAGTCTACATGATGGACTTAATGGATGTCATCTCTCACAAAGCAATATAAATGTCATCTATCTATCTATATACTACTAAAACTTAAGTTTGTTTACATTTTTAAATATTTATTAACCACACTAATTATAAAATTTAATCTTCCTAGATCTAAAATCTAGAATCTAGGTCAAACCAGAATTAATTAGTTAAAAATAAAAACCATTTTAAAATCAAAATAAATTATTGAGTTTCTTTATAAAACTATTTTAGTCCTTAAATATTTTAGATAAATCTTAGCTTTTTAGCTTCACGGATCATCTAATTCAAGAATACAAGGGATTCATATATCTAGGTTCTAGATCTAGAACTACGGAAAGACTAGCTACTACTAGATCTAGCTAGACCAGGGGTCGGCAACCTGCGGCTCTCGAGCCGCATGCGGCTCTTTTGATGTCTAGGTGCGGCTCTTCAGTTCCATGCACACATATTAGTAATTATTTTATTTTGTTCTTGAAACTCATAAAAATATTTGTCTGCAACACTCGGTAATGAACTATATAAAATATAATAATAAATATAAACAATAAACACCTGCTATTCTGTTATAATATTTTGTTACTCCCACTTTTAATGTACTTTCTTGTATTCTAAAATTGAGTTATTTAAATGTAAACAATGCTTGTGATTGGATCATATTTATCGTATGCTGTATGAAAGCCTTGAGTGGAAGTAAATCACTCACCGTTAAACACTCACCGCCGAAAGTGGCGCTATCGCAAACCAGATTACACTATCGCAGGGGCGTTGCGTAACACCCCTAGCTCGGTTTAATCATCGAATATCGTGTGCCGGATTATCACTATTGTAGGGTTCACTTTAAAACTAACGTAGGCGCGTAGTCCTCGCGGGATAGCCCTGAGCGCCAAATCAAACTCTGCAGAGACGCCGGAAGACGCGCCTGATTCGATTTAGTGGTCGGCTATAGCAACTCATTGTATCCAAAACCTACTGCGGATTCCAAGTGCTAACATAGCCGCTCTGGAACTCTGGTAGCGCCAAACCGTGTATTGACAAAAATTTAACCCTCCCGGGCGCTGCCAATAAGATTTTTTTTTCGCAGAAATCTTCTCGGGCGTATTCTTATCTAATTTCCAAAGTTTCATGGCATTCGGATGAACGGAGTCGAACCTCATCGGATTTTTTTTATATACCTGACGCTCCCGGGGCGCAGCCCATGTAAAATTAAAACATATTTTTTGCAGAACCTCCCCTTTTATTTTTATAAATCGAATCGCTCCCTGCCGGGGCGCCAACCGTGCGAATTTGCAATTTATTCTGTAAATATCTCCCCAGGACTATTCTCAACAATTTCCTAAAGTTTCATGGCTATCGGATAAAGGATGTAGTAATGAATAAAAGACAAACACACACACACACACACACACATACATACTGCATATATTGAATCCTAATTAAGGATCATAATACTGAAATCATATTGTTAGTGGCTCTTTAAAAGTTGGGGAATTAAGTAAATTGTAACTTTTGGCTCTTCCGTCTCAAAAGGTTGCCGACCCCTGCTCTATGCCCAACATCTGTATTAATTTAATTTAATTTTTGGTTACCACCTCACTACATGATCTTATGCTATCTGACAAAATAACTTTCAAGTGCTGTATATAATTTTAAAGAGTCTTCAATCAAAGTGCCTAAACTCTGTGTTTTTTAACGCTAAATCAACTCATTTTATTGTCCGCTGTCTGGACTATATATTTTAGGGAGAGTTGGCTTAACATGTAAGCTAATGGCGTCATCTTCCAAGTTTAGAATATGAAGAAATGAAGTACTTCATTCAAATTTGATTTAGATCAATATATCTACTTATTAAGACGTACGGTATGAAATGTATACAATTTTCTCGGCCAAAACTAATACAAATTACTATAAACGACAAAATAAATACCATTGATCAGCCGGGTTTTTAACGGAATTATTAAAATCTCTTAAAAATTTACTAAGATTTAAGTCAGTGTGATATTATTTCTTGTCATTTCTCAACGTCCTCTTCGCTAACAGTAAAACACGCAATTTAATACTCTATTGGAGAGTCTTTACTATTAAAATCTACTAGACTACCCGTTATACTTTGGATAACTATGGGTTTGGTGTAGGGGGGGGGGCGGGGTCATACATAAATAACACCACGTGTGTTATTTATCGTCACAAAAAATCAGACCCAACATTCAAAAAGACGTTTTTATCTTTTAAAAAACACCAATTTCGGCTGAGCATGGGTCTTACCACACTATTCCTTCATATGCTGAGGTCACAAAAACAGGTCAAATCTACTTACCTGCCTTGTATCCCGCCAAGTTCCGATAGGCAACTTTATTATTCACATCTAAAAAAATTGAAAAAAAAATTAACAAAGACATGATGTGTCTCGAACCCGTGTCACCTGCATAGTAACCTATTACATTAACACCTTAGCAACTTAGGCTGTTCATGTTGGGATGTTATTATTTGTAGTTTTTAGTCCGCTTTCAATCTTACGGTTATATCGCAGACTGTGTTTTCGATGGTTGTTTTGTTGTTTTTGTTTATGTTTAGTGTGATTTGATTTGGTTTCCATTCAGTTTTGGATGTGAGTTTTTTATTGTGTGAGTTTTAATTTTTGTTATTGGGTGATGTTTATTTTTTATGTTATCTGTATGGCTTGTTAGATTGATTTTTTTATTGGTGGACATATTTTTACTTTCTCGTATAGAGAAAGTCTTGTGATCGTGCAAAAAAAAAAAATAGAGATTTTTACAAATCTCGACATTTTACACCTCACTGATACGGAAAAACATAATTTTGCAATCTTGTCCGTATGTCTGTGTGTCTGTCTGTCTGTGTGTAAACACGATTACTTGAGTACCGTTACAGCTAGGTTGATGAAATTTCATATATAAGTATTTTATCAAAATCGTAGATCCGTATCAACTTTTGAGCAATTTCCGATAACTGGAAGTGGTACTTTTTCTACTTTGAATTTTTCAAAAGCCTATAACTTGAGTACTATTTCAGATAGATAAATGAAATTTCACATGTAAGTAAAAGATCTAATCTTCTGCCTTCTGTCAAATTTTGAGTAATTTCCGTTG